TTCGGGGGATCGAGGGTTACAAGGGTGAAATATACTATTTGGCAGTTCGGCATTTCGTCGGATATGAATCAGAGTGTGTTCGATGTTTCGAGACCCAGGCGGCCGACGTCTTTCTTTTTTTTCTTTTTTTATCCTCGGCTCTTGAAACGTCACCGACCACGGAGATCGCTCAGAAAATGTGACGGCAGCAGATACGATTCCGTTCGCGAGAAAAAAAAATATCTTCCCTGACAGAGTCTGAACACGAAGGAATGGACAGAGGATCGGCACGATTGCTCTTACCCTTACTCTTTGAATTAGAATCTGAAACCGTTGCTTCGATTCGATGGCGATATCGAGAATATATGTGTATACGTGTTTATACAGCACTTTTGGAACAGATTATTAATAAATTATATAAATGACGTGTTTAAAAAAATATCCGAATCGAGCAAGTACTTGATTGATGAATTGTTGATGAGAATATACATGGTGATCATCGCATTGTGGCGATCTGATATCATAAACCATTGAAGACCAACGTAACGCAACTCTTCAGTTGTCATTTCTTTTTGGTACTACACGTTATTGAATTCTATTTATTCCTTTCAGTATTATTTCTTCTTTCACTAATTATCAAAAGAAAAAAAGAAGATTGAATTTTGCACATTCTGCACTGTTGCGTGACAAAGTATTCCTTTTCTTCTTCTTCTTTTTTCAAATTATAAATTTATCATTAAATTATATCCTCGTTGCACTTGGTCTCGAATGGTTCGACAAATACTCCGAACGAGAAAAAAACAAAAAAAAAGAGATCTGAGAGTGACTTCGTTTAGAGTTATATAAGGCATCATCGTTATGTATATATAACACTGCTTAAAGAATATAGTTACGTATATCGTACCAGTCGATTTTTTGCGTTAATAAAAATTGTTACCGAGAGAAATCGAGACTCGTGACTCGCAGGTCTATGCTGTTGAATGTCTCTCGTTTAATTCCACACGTGGACGTCGTACGCTACTAAAAAAGTTTGGCGCGATATTTTCTCTCCTATTCTCGATAAAAAGTCTTTTCTAGAGTAACGCTTCGTATAAAACGTGTTTACAAAACGGCGACGGGGCGGGGGCGGGGGGCAGCAAGGAAAAACACTTGATAAAAGGTAACTTGCGCGGCTTGAACAAGTTAAAAATCAAAGATATTTTTTTCTCGAACGAACCTGTGTGTATGTACTTGCGTAAGAGCGCGTGCACGCACGTACATATACGGCTGTATGTGAGAACGCTCTGTAATTATATTATATCGTAACTGGTATCTCTTTCTCTCGTTCTCTCTCTCTCTCTCTCTCGCTCTCTCTCTCTCTCTCTCACTTTAGTTAACATTCGATATCTGTTATTGGCACAAAATTGTACTAGCAATATGGAAACACCTGCGGGACCGCGTTTCATCGTCGACGAGAAAAGTTCCACAGGCGAGGCGGTTCGTTTGCAAAAAGAAAAAAACTGAGGCGCTTCTGACAAGTGAATCCTGATCG